GGTAAAATGGTAAAAATATTACACATTTTCCATTTGAAGTACATTTGAAGTACGGATTATTAATTATGATGCAAATATGCAACCTTAGAGGTGTATGGAATTACATATACATAAAGAATAAAACGGTGTTATACAGTTTGAACCAATGGGTGGGATTAGTCAGACCAAACGAAATGAAAGGGAACATTAAGCATCACATTTGTTGACTTGCTGCCTGATGATGTCCCTTCCAGTATGTTGTGTCACTAGTGGGAGAAAAAAAAAAAGATGTCGAACCATTTTCACTTCTTCTACTGAGGTATCAAATGCGTCTTTTAGCACCCTGGCTTCTTGTTGCGCCTTCACATGCTGGGCGCTCATCTCTTCCAGTCTGAACGTGCGCACACCCGCACACAGAGACATTAACGCAGAGACAGAGAATACAATATAATAGTGACACCCGCACACAGTACACGACAAGAAGAAGAAAACAAGATGGAGGTGCTGAGCGGGTTACCTCTGTTTGAGTTGCATCACTTGCCCTTTGAGGTGAGCCTCACTCGCCCGAGCGCGGTCAAGCTCTGCGGACCTCGTCTGCAGATCGTCACGAAGCTTCTCCACACCGGCAAAATCATGCGACACCAAACACTCCTCCAATGAGCTGAAACGCATTCACACCAAGGTTATCTAACCCTTGTACACACAAAAGCACACACACTGACTCACTCACAACTAGACACACATACACAAAGTGTGGGGTAGACTACGCACTGTCTCGCTTGCTCTTTGTCGTGCACCATGTTTTTGAGTGTGCTGACGTCATTGTGAAGCCTTTCAACCTCCTCCGTTTTGTCCTGTCAGTCAAAACACAAGTTGACTGGCTTTCCGAATACTTTTGTCAGCAAGGTGCTCCCTCTCTCTCGCCCTTACGTGTTGCTCCCTGCGGTCACGTCCCAGCCTCGCGTTCTCCAGGGCTCGGAAGCGTTCCAGTTCCACTTCCTGCGTGTGCAGCTCATGGTGAACTTTTTCCAGCTGAGCGCGCATTCGCTTAACGTCGGCGCAGCAGTCGGCGTGTTTGCGCTCCGATGCACTCTGTGCCTGGACATATCAAAAGGTTACCATTGCTTACTAGCGGTGCCAACAGACAACATTTCGGCTTTTTCCACATGTGAGTTCGTGTGACATAATAGAAAAATATCCGATGTAGTACCTCAACCTGGGCCTGAAGAATCCTGACTTCAGACATGTACTCCTCTTTGGATTTGCATTCCTCAGTGATGGCCTTCTTCACATGTCTACGCTCAAGCTTCTGATAACTCCTCTTCAACTTGTCCAACTGAGGAAAAAAAAAATATTTACACATAACCCAGGGAACCAGATGTTACTGAGGGAAAACTGCGTGTTCTTTCAAACAGTAGTTCAGCTTCCCACAATCAAACATCTCGATTCTAGGACAGTGACACTGCTTTGAACACAACAGGGAGGAAGAAGTGGGTGTTTGCTGTTACATTTTACACCTCACAACCTGGCTTTTCTCGCATTTGTTTTCACAAATAAAGTTGCTGCGTGTGTTCAAAACAATTGTCGTTGTCTGAAGAGTATTTTTTTGTTCTGAAAACGGTGCCACCTCCCTGCGCAAAAGCAACCCAGAAAGGCACCTCACCTCCTCGCTGACTTTTCCGAGCTGCTTTTCGTACTTGGTAGCCAGGTCCTGTCGTCCAACTTGGACGTCCTCCACCTGCTTACGGAGAACTCCAATCTACATTGACAACGCCAAAGACAAAAGTCAGAGTTTCCGAAACAAGATAGTACACACACACACACACACACACACACACACACACACACACAGACACACACACGCACACACACACACACACACACACACACACACACACTCCCGGGAAATAAAACTAGTTGTAAGGTAGTATCAACCCCCCCACGTGTGCTTCACCTCCAGGTCCTTGCGCTGGATGACCACCCTGGAGGCGGAAATTTCCTCCTGGCAGCCCTTCAGCCGCAGCTTGAGGTTCCGCACCTGCGCCTCCCACTCGCTTCTCTGCTGGCTCATCATGATGTCGACCTGCCGCATCAGCTCCTGGAGCTCTGGCTCGCACGCCAACAAAACGGAGCTGGAGAATTTGCAGATAGACAAATGTGAACGTGTGAGTGAGCTAGCCGCCAGCATGCGATTCGAAACAAGTTGCATGACTCTAACCTGAGGTCCGAATTTAGCAAGGAGCTCCAACACGCCTCCATATGGGCTTATTAATGTTTTCCGGTGACAGAGTACTGACCATATAGTCTTATTAGTTTGGTACATAAAGTTAAGTTGCAGGCATTTGTTTCAATGGTGGTTAGCAACCAGCTTGCAACACCAAGCTAACAACCTCTGTGGCGCCACCAAACGTTCAAAGCGACGTAACGTCACGCGTAATAGTTTAGGTCTCCAAAAGACTAAATGCTAGCAGCTAGCTCGTTAAGCGTATGAAAATTAACATTTACGATATTCAACTGGACATTTTGGGAAATAACTTTTGAAGTACATAAAAAGAAAAAAAAATACGTCCTGTTGAGAAGCCGAACCAGGTGCTACGTCATCACGTCTGACGTAGGCCGCGAGCCTGGATGACATCACCGGACCATGTCACTTTTATTTTCTTTCTTTTAATATTGTTATTTTCTTACGTTTAATGTTTGATTTGGTTGTTTTGTACAATGAGATGGAAAAAAATAGGGAGGCGGCTAACTTAAAAGACAAGCTGAGCAATGCCCAGCCCTTTTAGTGTCGTCATCACGTCGTACGTTGTGCGGAGGAAAAGTGGATGGAAACTATGGAAACGACGACAGCAGCGAAAAACGAAAACGTCAAAAACGTCATGTCACATTTTCGCAGTTTGTTTCTTCAAACTAACTGCTATCATCTAGCTCGTTGAAGCTTATACATTTACCCTCGTCAATTGGACTCCGAGGGAATAACTTTAAATAACGTTAAAAACAAATATTTCTGGTTGTGGAGAAGCACCTCCCCCCTTTGCCGCCGTCACCTCATTTACGTAGGCAGCAAGGAGTTAAATAAAAAAAAAAAAAAAAAAGTTTTTTTTTTTTAAACTCAATTTGGCCTCACAGTGCAGAAGTGTAGGGTTCGATTCTGGCTCCGGCCTTGCTGTGTGGAGTTTGCATGTTCTCCCCGTGCCTACGTGGGTTTTCTTCTGGGACTTCGGTTTCCTCCCACATTCCCAAAACATGGATGGTAGGTTGATTGGACACTCCAAATTGTCCTTCAGAATGATTGTGAGCACAAATATGTGCCTTGCTAGCACCAGTTTGGGTTGTACCTTGCCTACTGCCCGGAGACAGCTGGGATAGGCTCCAGCGCGCCCCGATTGAGGATAAGCAGATTAGAAGATGGATGGATGATATACTGTACAATGATCAGAGCAATTTTCTTTTGTTTTATGCATCAGAATTACTGTAAGTCATCATGGAGTGACAAACAACATTGAGCCAAGCACATTTTGCTTCCCAGATGGTGAACTATGATGACTAGTCTTTATTTTTCCGAAGTAATGTTGTATTGTAATCTCCCATTTCTTCACGGCAGAGACTGAAAATAGGAACGGTGACACAATAAAAAGTAAATAATGAGCTGGTGTTTATAATTACATTTATTTTCTTCATTTTTCTATTATAACAAGATCTCATATGTCACAAATCATGTCAACTTGTCAGTGACAGTGTGAAACTATTATGATGCTAATGTTGAGAATCAGACTTTGCTCTTGTGACAGTGCGTCAACGCATCCCTCAGAGCAGCCAGCACCAGGTCAGCATTTGTAATGCTGCTGTTGCATCCCATCAGACCAACGCGAAGTACCTGCAACAGCCAACACATTAGGTTGCTTAGTGATGTGTTAAGTAGGTAGGCATGTGGGTACTAAGATTGGTTCCGAAGTAAGTAGGTCATGACACCAGCTTGTACTTTGCTAGTTAGTTAGGAAGGTGATATGATCAACCGGTACTCAACAAGCTGGCTAGATAGGTAGTTGATATGATCACTAGATAAGTTGATGGGTACCTAAATAGGTTGCTAGATGGATAGGTGAATTACATGCCATGCTGGGTAGCTAAATAGGTTGAGAGCTAACTCGGTAGCTAGACACACATATAGGTTACTTGCTAACTAGATAGATAGAGGGGAAGCAGACTTTGTTGTCAGACAGCTCATTAAGGAGCCAGTTAGCCATGTTTCTAGCAGGATAGGTCTGTCACACTCTAGCTCACTAGATACGTAAAGGGGTGGGTTGCACAATACCATGCCGGCGGAGGGTCCCAGCCCCCCGGAGATCTCCAAGTTGTGCCTCTTCATGACGTAGGCTGTGATCTCCTTCCAGTCGTATCCATCTGGAGCCACGATTGTCGTCACCGTCGGCAACCTCAAAGCCTTGGAAAAAAACATAATTAGTATTAGAAATTATCATCATTATCGTTGCAGTGCTAAAATGGGATACAAGTGGCCAGACTTCGGAGTTTTTCTGAATTTAAAACAACTCAAACGTTTCACCTTATCCTCCACGAAGAGTTTGAGTCCCATATGCTCTAAACCGGTGTGGAAATATTCGGTCACGTTCGTGTGCCTCTTCCAAGAACTTTCCAGACCCTGCCGAGCAAGAGACAATTAGATACAGTCCATCCCTTATTGTTAAATATTTACTGCGAACAACCCAATTGAGTCTTTGGAGCCACTAAAACAATGATTCAACCTCACCTCCTCCACAAGGATGGCCAGGCTCTCCCTGAGGGAGTAAAAAGCAGAGACAGGGCCTGTGTGGTGGTACCTACGCATTGGACAAAAAGGAGGTGTTGCTTAGTTCCTGGAAAGATTTCTGCTTTGAAACATTTTTAAAGGAGTTTTTACATTCGAGTGGCTTTGCCATCACATCCCCAGTAGTTGGACAGCAAGCTCAGGTCCAAGAAGAACGACACCGGCTTTGTTCTGCGGTTGAATATTTTTCGACTGTGGGTGAAACCGGTCGTACAACGACAATGCATGTGATCACTGACACATGGTCGCTCCACAATGTTGCGACGTGTTCAAGTTCATGCTCTGGGGAGGTCTCACCATGCTCGCTCACTGAAAGAGATGGGTGCTATACCCGGTGGGACGTTCAGAACCTTCTGAGAAGCCGTGTACAGGATGTCGATCCCTAAACAAGGCCGGCAGAGAGATTGAAACTTCTCTTCACACTTACACAACAATTAACAAGATATCAAGATCACAATATATCGCTTTGAAGTACGTTATTGGTAAACAAGCATCACAAATAAGAAAAAACGGATTCTTCCAGATGTCCTGTCACACCTTGTTCGTCCATGTACACTGGAGCTCCCCCTATTGACGCCACAGAGTCCACCAGGAACAAACAGTCGTACCTGATGGTGCGTGAACGTAATCGTAATAATCGTTTTACACTGCTGCTTTAATTGTTAATGTTCTTACTTGTGACACAGTTGTCCAATGCCATCCAATGGATGCAGGACGCCAGTGGATGATTCTCCGTGCGCCAGGAAAAACAGCACAGGCCTGTGTTTGATTAACGCCTATCCCAGCACATCAATCATTTGCTATTGATTTGTTAGCATGATTTGACATTGACTTGTGTGGTTTACCTCCTCGATTTCTGCATTGGTAAAGAATCCACCAAGCGACCCAACAATGGTGTTAACCCGAGCACCTGTTGAGTCAAAAAAAATACAAACCACTATAGAATTTGCAATCAATCCGCCATTCAGTTGTCAAAATTTGTGATGGAATTGAGGTTTAAGGTATCATTTCAATTGGATTGTAGCACTTGTATTTTCAGCTAGCTAATATTAGCTAGGGTTAATGCTTGTACAGTGCTGTGAACAAGCATTTGCCCCTCCTGATTTCCTTTTTTTCCCCATATCTATCACATACAAAGGTTTCAAATCATCAAACCAATTTTCATATAAAATATACAAACCTTTCTGACCCTCTGTGAAAATTCATATTTTCATGCTAACTAGTGAAAGTTAGCTGGCATACTGCACATCATTGTTCTGTGACAAGATGATGGCTAAAAACCATTGAAACGGAAACAAATTATAACATTAAAACCACTTCACCAGAAATGTTTATGAAAATTCCAATCTTCTAATGAGTAGGTTGCAGGTGACACTCAAAAAAAAGCTAATGCTAACTGTTACCTATCCTCTCTGCTATGTCCGCTGCCCGCTCTCCCCAGACCCCATTGACTGCCACCAGCACGCTGTCGCCAGCCTCCACTGCGTTGAATATGGCACACTCCATGGCGGTGTGGCCCGTGCCACTTAGCACCAAAGTCACCGGGTTCCGAGTCTGGAACAAGTACTGTATTCCGCCCTGGATGTCAGCCATTATCTACAAACCAAAAACACAGGCATTCTGGTGAATGTACATCCAAGACAATGGCATCTCATTTAATATTGCACCAGGATCTCGCCCTCCTATTCAGTTTGGACTACCGGTACACAAGATTAATCAAGAGTGTGGTTCTTGGCGTTGAAGTCTAGTTAAAACCTCCACCAAGGTGTCTCATTTACCATCGTACCACGACCTAGGCATTGCAGTCGCGCTATAGCTCCAAGGGAGGCATCCAACCCAAATTGAGGTCTACCAAAAACCTACGCACATAGACCAGTGCCATCCCATCACCTACTCGAACACAAGCTAGGGCTTATCCGAACCGTTGAGGACTTACATCAAGAAACCTTTCTAGTGGAGGTATCCAAACTTGGGCCTTTGTCAAATCTGCCGAGAGAAGCGCCACTGCCCGTCCCCTACCCCTTCCCCCCAACCGTTGATTCACTTTACCTCCAAAATCTCCGGATGCATGTGTCCAATGACGGGATTGGCTCCGGCCCTCAAGATGCGCGGCGGAACGTTGGAGGGTCCGGGTCCAAACATGTGGCGTTGAGGAACCATCAGGGGGGTCCGCAGACGTTCGGGCGGTGACACCGCCAGAGAGGACATGTCGACAAACGTGTGGATCGCTGTGGGAACTCAACTGGGACTGAAAGGCACTCGGTTTTCCAACTTTGTTTGACTTGGTGGTAATCTCGTGTTAATAATTAACAAATGACTCTGCACATTTTTGTTGTTGTTGTTGTTTTTATTGTATAATTCAGTCAAATTGTAACTGATCACATTGGTCATAGTTAATGATCAGGCGAAAGTGTTGATCATAGCGTGTCATTTTTCTTTTTTTTCCCCAGTTTTTATTCTTGTGTTTGGTTGAGGCAAAAACCAAATCAAATTTTATTCTTAGTTCGTGTATAACCAATATCGTTGTTTGGAACCTTTACAAGTTTAATAATTGTTATTTTCAGAATCTAAATGAACAAATGTATTTTAAAAATGTGCATAAATAAACAAAAATACACAAATAAATAATCTTAACTATTGAGGATATATTTCTGCATATTTATATACACTATATGCTAACTTTTTTGTATTGTATGTATTTAGATTGGTTGTCACGTTTGCGAGGTGGTGGTGGACCCAAAAAAGCAGGCAAGAGGGAGGAGCAGGGTGTATTTGAAGAAGTGTATTGATAAAACACAGAAAACTAAATCCTAAACAAACAAAGTCCAAAGTATCAAACAAAAACCATGACTGAAACTCAAAACTATCAATAACAGAAACATGACAAAAAACATGATCTAAACAGGACTGACAAACAAACATGACAGCAGCAAGAAGCAACAATGACCCGACAATGATTGCTCGGGCTGGGAGTCCTTTTAAAGCCACTAATTACCTAATGACCAACAGGTGTGCAGCTGCAGGGAGAGCCCTACAGTGCCACCTGTTGGTCCCAAACCGAATCATGACATTGGTTTTATAATACAAGTATATAGATATAATGTATGTTACAAATGACATAGAATGTGTACAATATTATTAAACTTAAACTCCAAATTTACTCCAAAATATAATATAAAAAATATCTTTTTATGCTTTTCTTTGTATTGTACTTTTTTTGTAAATCAAAATGACACTGCTAGTTTTTAATATGAGTTATTACTGTTTCGCCTTTTTATAAATGAGATGAGATTAGAAACTGCATTGAATGAGAATGCAGGTTCAGATTTTTGAAACTACATTTAACATAAAGCTTGTATATTTATAACTGTCTGGTTATGCTTTTTTTTTTTCGTATCATTCTATTTTAAAAATACTTGATTTCATTCCCTCATCCTCACTCTTCATGCGTCATCATGAGGGGTGGTCCTCGAGGGTATGAGGACGGTCTTCCCCAAGGGTTCTGCGCTGAAGGAGCCGTCACGGTACACCAGATGTCCCCTCACGATGGTTGACCTCACCACACCTCGGAGCGACATCCCAAGGTACGGCGTTATCTACCCACACACACGCACATCTCATAAAAACTTGGGTATATCGGGGGGCTAGCAGATAAATATTCAAGATGAACCCGACGCAAAACGAATTTGACTGGCGACTCATATCCCGCGATTGAGCCTTGTATCTCTCTTGACGCACCACAGTCGAAAATTGCAACTCTGTTTTGCATTTTAAGGCTTCACATACTACATATTGTCCATGACTTTTATTGAACCACAAAAACAGGGTGTGATTGTCAGGGAAGAAGCAAATTGCCATGAAGAGGAAGCGGGTCAGAATAAAGGAGAGAGTTTGGATATTTTGAGAGGCTGACGATTTTGTGTGTGCGTGTGTGTGTGTGCGTGAAAGCTCATGTGCATCTTTTATTGGCTATTAAATCTAAGACATTACAATGGAGTGCAACAGTGATTTAATTCAGCTAGTTACGGGCGCATCACTTTCAAGAACAGGGTTGGAGGGTTGTTTTTAACTCTTGTTAAAAGCACTTTGAGTTGCGTATTTTGTCTGAAAAGTGCTACGTGAATAGAGATTAATCGATTGGTTGAAGAGTAAGTTGTGCAAAACGTACTGATACAGTTGGACATTGAAAACTTCAGAGAAGTCGAAATTAGTTCACCACTAAATATTGAAGCGCATTCTAAGTTCATCCTGAAATTTCACCTCAAAGTCAAATATCCCTAACTTTGGGTGAATACGGTAGTGTAGGTTTATATACACTAGATAGCTGTTGTATAAATGAACAGTGAAGGGTATGAATAATGATGGATTGTTGGTCGTCTCCTACCTTATTCTTATGATGTATGCCTTCTTCTTTAATCTGCAACACAAGGAAACAATGCTTTTACCAGCCATAAGAGCCTCAACCATATCGATGTCCCGAGCTTACTAGAAAGTTGTATTTTTTGTGTGGGTGGGTTTTTTTTCCAAATAAAAAAAACAAATTCTCACTCGCTCTTGATGCAAACCTCAAATTCTCTCTCAGGGTCCCAAATGACCAGGTCAGCGTCGTAGCCCGGTGCCAGGCTGCCCTTCTGCTGGCCAAGGCCGCACAGCCGAGCCGTGTTCTGGCACAGGAGGCGCACCGCGTCCCCGAACTGAAAGCCCTTCTGACTGGCCAAGCTCCAGAACAGAGGCAAGCCTGACCAATAACAAACAAAGTCATAAACGTTTGGTCTTATGATACTTATTTATAACCTTGGAGTGGTTTATGACAAATCATGTAAGTTATGGACAAAAAACTAAAATGTGACTTTTTACTGAGGGGGGGGTATTTTTTTTTCTTTACCTTATTGTAGTTGTGGTGTCATAAATCATACACAGGTCATAAATCACATTGGGGTCATAAATAATTATATTTATTGAAACTATTTTTTTAAGGTTGCATGGCTTCTAAAATGCATCTGTTGCTGTTATTACCAAACTGGAGCGACGAGATTCCCCCCCAGGCCTGAGTGAAGTCTCCAGAGTCCAATTTCTTAAGGTCAGCCGTGCAAGGGGAGTGGTCCGACACCACCATGTCTATGTGGCCCGCCTTCAGCGCTGCCCACAACTGATCCTGCGGGACAAAGTAATCATTTACATTGTGAGTCCAGTACCCCTCCCCGCCACCCCCACCACACACACACGTACACACACAAATATCTTTATAAATTTTGTAATAAGTGACAGAACCAACACATGAAAACAAATCATCACCTTGTGTATTGATGTGGTTCAAATACTGAGTGCAGATGACCAACAGAGCATAACATGGACTAAACACAAAAAGGAGAAAGAAGCTGAAGAAAAAGGAAGAAGAGGGAAAACTAAAGAGAAGACAAATGAGGAGGAGCGGGAGAAGATGGTGTGCAATGAAAAAGTAGGAAAGGGAAAGGGAAAAGGAAGACAGCAGGACAAGACAAAGGGGAAAAAAAGGAAAAAAGAAGAGGGGAAAGAAGGTGAGTAACAATGACATTCTGCTTTCGACCTGGTTGTGAGCCGATCTGATTGGTGGGCAACACTTGAACTGCGTGGCCCCCGCTGGTACGTTTTCTGCACTCAAGCTCAGGTAGTGGTGGGTGGTCTCCACCGTTAGGGAGGCCCCACCCTTCTTGGCTTCTTGGATGACAGGCAGTGCCTGGGATGAAGACAAGTGGACCACATGGCAGCGCACCCTAAAGCACAAAACACACACATTATATGTTAGCATTAAGCTAGCAGACATTTGTTTTTAGTGATTGGGTGAAGTTCTGGTGCTTCAATTTTAAATGTTCAATTTTATTCCTTATGTCAGTTTTACAATAAACTTCAACTAAGAGTCACAAATAAAGAGCTTAAAGCGAGCATGCGTCGCTTTTTTTTTTTTTTAAATAGTGGCCTCTCTATACTGCAGGTGGGTCGAGAATGAATCCCCGCGATAAATGGGAGTTCAGTGTTTCTGAGTGTCAAAGTGATCAGCTCACTGGTACTCGATGCAGAGTTGTATCACACTGCGGATGGCTTCCACCTCCATGATGTCAGGTCTGGACTGCAGGAAGGTGTCATATTGCTGAGGGTCTGATGTGGACACAAGTCAACTCAATAAATCCACATTGACGGGTATTGCTAGAAAATAGTTGCGCAATATGCTGGCAAGATAGGCAACTACTGAGCCAATACCTAGCTAGATAGAGCGTTAGTTGACATGCTAGCTGGAATTAAGGTAGATAGCGAGATTGATTGGTAGCTAAACTAGCTAAATAGATGGGTAAGTAACTAGAAGGCTAGATAGATGGCTTGGTGCCAGTTAGCGTGTTTGCTAGATAGATAAGTAAGTGTAAAGACTGTTAGGTGGATCGCTGTTTGGTGGGTAGATAGGTAGCTGCCATGCTAACTAGATGAGTAAGCGATATGTCCACTGGCTGCAATAGAATAGAATGTTACCGCCATTGCTCTCATTGGTCAGTTGGACTTCCTTCTCAGCGTGAAACTAAAGGAGACAAAGAAGATTCAGCTGGTGACCCTTCAAGAATAAAGCTTTGTTTTCATGATGACGTGCTTGCTAACTGTGTGACTAAAATACAGGTGTCATGTTGTCGATTTCGATGGCTAATGCTACCTGTATGCAAAATACAGTTGCACTGTGGTTGTCATAGCTAACTAAAGCTAACTGTGACTAAAGCTAACACTAACTGTGTAAAACAGTGGTGTCATTCGTTTACGCTAGCTGGCGAAAGTTAACTGTATATGTAAAATTGTTTGGGCAGTGGTTGTGCCAGCTGATGAGCACCATACCAGTAGGACAGTTCCTGTTCCTCTCAGCTGCTCCAAGGCGGCAAGCAGGTCTCCGTGGCTCACGTGAGGGAACTCATCCACGCCACTCTGGATCAGGAAGCACTTGAAGCCAGCTACTCCGGCCTGGATCATGGGCTGAAGTTCTAGCTTTAAGCAGAAAGTTTGATACTCTGGGTTATATTGTTGCAGACGGCGCATGGGGACCGGGGCTTATCTTGAATTTCATAAAGGTACAAGCTTTTGCATGTTTGGCAATTTGATAGATCACACTGCGCCATGTTGGGTGTTCCGACTTTACCTGATTGCCAGGAATCACGCCACCCCAAAAGGCTGTGTCCACGAAGCATTTACCCGAGGTCTCGCGCAACTTCGCCTGTAAATTAGCCAGCGTGGTGGTGGGAGGGATGCTGTTTCTGGAACAAATGGATTATGTACTGTTTTAGGTACAGGGTCAGCTAACTAGCAATCAACTAGGTAAACTGAGGTACAGTATCTATCCAGCTGGCTATTTAGCCAGCATTCCACATGCCCAATTTCTGACCTACTTAGACAGGCTAGATAAACGGGTAGGTGACTCACAACGGCATGTCCACAATGGTAGTGATGCCTCCCGCTGCCGCCGCCCTGGTGGCTGTCCAGAACCCTTCCCAGGAGGTGCGTCCCGGCTCGTTGACGTGGACGTGACAGTCCACGATTCCTGGCATCACTACACTATCGCCTGCATCCAACACCTGCAGACAAGGCAACAGAGTTAATTGGACACATACCCGGCCTGCCAGCATGTCAGCGATCTGCTTAATTCAGAACCAAGTCAGCTATACCAAGCACACAAGCAAGTTTTTTT